GTCCGAGGGCTCTTTTCTCGAACAGTAGGTGCGATACCTGTTCTTTTCTTTCTTTCGATCATTTTGTTTTCTTTTTCCGAGTGGTTTGTATCCTATTTTTGTTTTTTGTTTTCTCGCGGCGTCGTATGTGCCGGGTTTTGAGACCACGGGCTCCCCATTTTTTGTGGACTATCGAGCTAATGTGAGAAACAACAACAACAACAACAACCTTTTCTAGGTACGTTAGCCTGAGACCACGGAAATTGGCCGAGTCAAGTGATGGATAAGTACGGAGAGATTGAGACAGAAGGAGGTACTGGATAGAGAGACCGGGATGGTTTTTAATGTGAAGACAACAACACAACAACAACAACACGGCCCTAATCTTGAGATATTTGAACGTGAAACGAAAATATATGCCCTGGGGACACCAGAAAAACTGTGCAGGTGGAAGCAAATGTAGCGCATTCCCGATGGCTGACTACAAAGAAACTTTGCCCCCCCTGAATCAGCAGTTACACGTTTCTTTTCTCCGAGTGGTTTGTACCCTATTTCAGTTTGGTTTCCCCGCGGCGTCGTACGCGCCGGGGTTTGAGACCACTTGCTGCCCATTTTTTGTGTACTACATGTATTGAGCTAATGTGAGAAACAACAACCACAACAACATAACAATCTTCTATGCATATATTTCAATAGACTTCATAGATTGAATGGTCTGCGAACTTCCAGGAAACTAATTCCTCTCTCGGCGCACCACAGGCCAGCATTTCCAGGTCTGCCATCTCGTTCTTTGCTCTCCCCGTTGCTTTCAGTGCAATAGACCGATGCCGTTGCCGCTGTCTTCGGTTCCTCTGCACCCAGCGCTTTCGGGCCCTGCACTTTCAGTCAGTGGTTCAATAAGTCAGGGCTTCCCACTGGCGCAGGATGATGCACCTCGCACCCTCACTCCCTCCTTGTTTGAACTCAACGATCAGCAGTTCATCCCCGCATGACCCGTAATCAACCATCTTCGCGATCCGCCAGCAGATATCCCTCTCTGTGTCCCTCTCATATTCTCTCTCTCTCTCACGCCCTCTCTCTTCTCTCCTCTCTCATTCTCTCTTCTGTGTTACATACAGAGCAGTCACAATACGTTGGCCAGCAACTCAGTCGCTCCGTGACAATCAACTCCTTTCAAGCAGTAATTTTGTAGTCTACAGCCAGTCAATATGGCTCAAGTCTGTGCGAAATTCATGTATGCATGTGTACGCACACACAGGATTCATGTATCCGCAAATCCACGTGCACGCACGAACACACAGGAATGCACGAAGGAGCAAAGGGTTATTCGATCTTGAGTCGCCGTCGGGTCGTCTTTTGTGCAATTGCAAGATATTCGTCCCACGATATTGACTAATAACCATGGTTGAAACTTTTTCTCGATGCTGCCCGCACACGTTCGGTTGCACGTCAACGCCCCTCATTCCCCACGCTTCCCCACATCACTCCCCTTCCCAGTCTCCGGTGAGTAACTTTCTTCCTCTTGTTTTTCGTAGATGTTGGGAAGGCGCAACAAACTTTTCTCGGACGGTTGCCTCTCCTTACAGTAGCGCCAAGCGCAAAACTTCCGACCTACGTGTTTGGCGAAGTCCTCGGGAAGGGTGTAA